TATCATCACCATGATAGCACTTGTTCCACATCATTTTCTGAATTCAGTTTGAATTTCTGGCAGTTTCCTGCCAATGCACTGCTGCAACAGTTTTTTAATTATATTTAGCAAAACTTTGTGTGTGATATTAATGATATTATTCATTAATTTTTGCATTCTATTGGATTGTATTTTTTTGGAATTAGCACAAATATGGATCTCTTTCTGTTGGTTGGCCAAGTAGTTTCTTCCAAATTTCTTGGCATAGATGAGTATGTGTTTTCAGGTGCTGCATTCATTTGCTAAAACATATTGTACTGGTATTGAACCATGTTGATATTAGTATTCTGTCAATACGTAGAGCCATATTTTTCACTAATGGCTTCAGTGTAGCTTGGACTTCTTTCCTCAGTACCATTGGTTCTCGATCGTATGCTACCTCCTGAAATAGTTGAACTCTGACCAGTTATTTTTGGTATCTTCCTATGATGCTTCCTGTGTCATTCAATATCCTGCCCACAGAATCTTTCAATTTTGCAACTTGAGGCTTGAATGCTTCTTCAGTCCTTTCAGACTGACAGATTCCAAATGTGTTCTTCCATTTTAGTTTTCTAACTCCAGGTCATTGGGTCATTGCACATTTCATTATAATATTTTACTATGTCTTCTCAAGCTGCCCTTTGATATCTTCTGTTCAGCTCTTTTATATCATCATTTCTTCCATTTGTTTTAGCTACTCTATGTTAAAGAGCAAGCTTTAGAGTCTCTTCAGACAATCCATTTTTGGCTTTTCTTTCTCTCCTATCTGTTAATGATCTTTTGCTTTCTTCATGTATGATGTCTTGATGTCATCTCACAATTCATCTGTTCTTTGGACATTAGTGTTCAATGTGTCAGATCTATTTGAGATGGTCTCTAATTTCAGGTGGGAAATATTCAAAGTTGTACTTTGGCTACAATAGGCTTGTTTTAATCTTCTTCAATTTATACTCATTCTCTACCATCTGCCCACAATGATTTAGAACACAGTGAGAGTAGCCTTTAAAAACACTAATCCTAAAAAAAAAAAATAAAAAAAAAAAAAAACTAATCCTTTTTTATTTATACCACAAGTGCTAAAAGGATAAATGCCTCCCCAACTAATCTGTTAAGTTTACTGAGACCAGAAACTACAATTCAATCTTCTTGATAAAAATAAAAAGATAGTACTTAGCACATAGTAGGTGCTAAATAAGGATGCTGAATTATATTTAAGGCTTTCCATTACAGTACATTGTTGTTAGGTATAGTTGAGTCAGTTCTGACACTTAGCAACCCTATGTACAACAGGACAAAATACTAGCTGGTCATGTGCCATCCTCATAATCATTGCTATTCTTAAGCCCCTTGCTTCAGGCCCTGTATCAATTCATTAGTATATGAAGGATAATAGGCCTGCATTATATCTGAGAAGTCAAATTAGTTGAGTTTCTACTAAATTCTGAAGGCAGAATAAAACCTGGCAGAAATACTGTTCCTCTTCTTCTAACACATAACTCCAAACCTAGACCTTCAACCTATTTAATCTTTTCATTCTCATTGAGGAGAGTGCTGAAACAGATGCTTTCCCCACTTAAACTGACACTTAACCCTAAATAACTAATCATAAAAAGATACTTACAATGCCACCTTTCCTTGCTGGACAGACTAGAGTTTTATTACTAACTGTTAAGGGCTTCCAGCTATTCTTAATATTTTAATCTACCTGAATTTTCAGATGACTAAAGTCTGGAAAGTTTTTACAAAGAAAATGAATTTTAAAATAACTTCAAAGAAAAGTCCAATATTCTTGGAACGCGGTTTATCTAAGATAAAAAAGTGACTATTTAAAAAATAATATTACATTTTAGTTAGAATGGAAAAGCAGAAAAGAAAAACAAATACCTTATGGTAACCAACATAATGATCTTGTCATAATCACTTTTTATTTTTAATTTCTGTTTCAAGTTCATAAGAGCTCTCAGCTAATTTATGTAGAAATATATTATGGCCTAAAAGCATGCCATGGCCTACAAGGAAATGTGAGTTTGGAAAATAAAGTTTATATTTATTATGTACCCATTATAATAAATTAAATAGTAACATTTATATTTACAAGTCATGGGTATATAGACTATCAAGCTTTGTAATTTATAAAGTGTTCAGTTACTCTTTCATTCAAAGCTACAACAAAGACATGCTCAGTCACATATACAATGTCATTGTAAAAGGATAAATGCTAGACAACTTCAAGATGTCATAGGTGAAACATGTCCTATAAATATTTCACTCCCTTAATAACATTCATATTATATAAATGGCCAATATTTTGAGATTCAGCCATAGTCTGTACAATTCCACATGCAAATCCAGTACATTAATACCCACACAAAATTAATTATCTCATCATATCATTTCTCATTCATTAATTTTAGTTTCACACTGTGATTTTTACCCAAACTCTGATAGCCAATCAAAGGTTTCAGAGCATCAAGTAAAAACGTTCTCTTTAGACAGTGTTCACTAAATATCACATCTTTTCATCTAATTGGTTGTACATTGTGTATACTTTTCTATTCCTCTTCCCAAGATACTTGACTGTGTCTTTCATTTTTATTTTTTTTTCCATTAAAAATCCTCAAATGACTGAGGCCATGGAGAGAAAAAGTGAAAGGGAGAGAGGGAGAGCTACAGATTCCAGGATTTACATCTTTGCAATTCCAACCAAGAGCTGCAGTGAGGTTAGAAGTTTTACTACAGATTTACCTGATCTCCAAATGTCTACTGTATACTGATGCAAAGCAGAATAAATACCACATGCAGTTTCTCATAATAGGCAGTGGAATTACACATAATATCCTATGAAAGTACGTGCCATAGAGGCAGAATTTAATTGACTACTTTTCTCTTAACCTCAACCTCTGAAACCAGTAAATATGTGATCCTATGTATGTTTCCCACATTCCGCACCACCTTAGAAACCCTAACAACCATGCAGCTCAATCCTGCCAAAAGGAACGAGCCCAAATTTGATCTTTTAAAAAAGTAACAAAAAAAAAAAAAACACTCGCCATTATGTTTCACATGAAAAACCAGCTTGTCGAAGATGTCAAATAAAAGGATAACAAAGAAAGGAAGAGCATCTTTAGACTTGAATTTCCATTTTATAACCTCACCATCTGTCAACCAGTTGTGTTG